ATTCAACTTACGTACGTACGAGTTTCCATATACTTGTGCAATGCCTTTATTGTTGTTAGCATGTACAAAGACGTGAATATGCCGATATGTAGGTAATACACACACACACACAAACACACATATATATATTTATGTATATGTATATGGAGTGAATGGATAGATGAATGTTTAGATAGATAGGTGGATGAATGGCTGGCTGGGTAAATCGGTGAGTATTAATACTTACAAATGGACGGATGGATATATAATTGATTTGATAAGTTTGGATAGGTTAAAAGATGAATGAACTGCAAAATGAGTGAAATGTATAGGATTGAATGATTAAGTAAATGGATGAATAAATGTAGACAAAGAAACGAACGAATGAATGAATTAATTAATTAATGAACGAAAAACGAATGAATGAATGAATGAATGAAGGAATGAATGAATGAATGAATGAATGAAGGAATGAATGAATGAATGAATGAATGAATGAAGGAATGATGTGTGATATATGGACGGGTGCATTGTAGTTGTTTTGTTTTTATCTGTAAATAAATGATCCAACGATTAAACGAATCCTGCTTGATTGACTGTTAGTTGGGTGAATGTTTTGGCTGAATGGTGTACATTTTAATAAGTGGAGAAATATTTGAACGAATGAATGAATGGATGGATGAATAAATAAATAAATTAATTAATGAAAAATAAATAAATGGATTAATTATTAATTAACAATGTATGAATAAACGAACAAACGAATATAGGAATGAATGACCATTTGTTTGAAGTGATGGACAGTTAGATGGATACACAGAAAATGAAGACCAGATAGACGAATGAATGTCGGAGTGAGTACCGTCCTTATTTATTGTCAACTCGATTGAATTTGTTTAACTCGAAGGTCCTTCGTATTTCTCTCTTTCTTATCCCATGGCTACCTAACGATGTAATTTAGTATTTTGTTCTCAGAATTGCTTCGATTTAGTTTTAAAGCATTACTTTTGTATTTGTTTTTTACCATATTTCTGATTAAAAATTGTCCACAATGGACTGGGGGGGGGAAGACCAAGTAACAAATTTTTCTAAAAGATCTCTTGTAAAGTCAGTTGTAGAATCAACGTTGCTTCATTTTCATACTTCATGTTAACACATGTTTCCAGATAAATGATAAATAGAGATGCATGATCCATTCATTCATTCATTCATTCATTCATTCATTCATTCATTCATTCATTCATTCATTCATTCATTCATTCATTCATTCATTCATTCATTCATTCATTCATTCATTCATTCATTCATGCATTCAACTACAACCACTCAGTAGCCGTGGCTGCCACGGACGACTGATTGTTCGCCACCAGGGCGTCAATTATACGCTGCTGTTAATTGACGCTCGCCGGTGAATCGCAAATAGGAATTGAAATATAGAACACTTGATCTAGACGTTGACTTTGAAGTGTTTGCGTCAGTGTATTCTATTTATAAGTTGCCACTCATCACTCCAACCAATCGGTCACACTGCTGGGTTATTTTTGCACCAATTATTATAATGCATGCGTGACGTCATTGCTGTTCGTATGTAGTTGCAGTGGGAGTTTGTGGCAGGAAGGATACGGGAGGAGGATCCTTGGAGGATGCATCGCTTCCCTCAAGGTGGATGTGAGAAGGTGTCTACGTCTTCGTGATACTTTGTGGCGAGGGGATAAAGGAGGGGGGTGTAAAATATTATGGGACATCCCGTTTCGTTCTTTTTCAATTATTATCACGAATTAATAAAAATTTTGTTAAAAATATTTTGTCACAAAAAGGTTATAAAATTTCATATGTTATTGCTCAGTACGCACTCAAAAAATCTGCTTCTTCGATGCTTTGTTTTTTGTTCTTCATTTTATTCACGGATGTGTTCGCTTTAGATTCAACGACGGTATCAATACACAGAGCCTGATTAACCTACAGACAAACGAGACAAATGTCGAGCACCCACACTTGCCATTAATATATATTATTATTATTCAATTTATTTTTATATTAGTATTCTTTTAAGAAGATTTACGGACGTATTTTGCTAAATAAAAAGTCGTCACTCGTTAAAGCCTTCACAAAGAGAACGATTGAGAGACAACCATCAGTGGCATGGCAGATCTTAACAACGTTGACGTGGGGAGCCAAAATTTAATAAAAGTTGAAATTTTTTGAATTTTTATGGGGGCCAAAAAATTAAGTTTTGTGTAATTCCGTTATGAAACGAATTGATTTAATAAGCAAAAGGTTACCAGTCTAATTTTGGCCACACCACTGTACAAAGTATTTCATTTGTTTGTCACTCCCTTATCAAACAATCACTTCAAGCGCATTTTTATTGAATTGTCGTAATTTTTCACATATGTGTATCGTATTCTTTTCGTTATAAACCTCACCGTAAGCGTCAGTTCATTGTTATTGGTGCATGCCCACAAAAGCCGAAATATCGGTCGATCAATCAATTAGTTTGTAAAGCGCTATTTCCGCGATGTTCGACAGCGCTCCTTAGCGAATTTTGCAAACAGATGGGTCTTGAAATCCGCTTTGAACTTTGTAAATAATGGAGAAACAAGGGCCTGTAAATATATCAGTTATAATGACCCAAACACTTTTAGGTCAACACCCAGGTCAAGTTTTGTAGTTCAATTCCAGTCTTTATTCCACGTTTTAAAGTGTTAAAATCATAATTTCATCTTTTTGTTCCTTACATGTAAACCTTTGCTGCCTTGTGTTCGGTTTTATAGAATTTATTCGTGTTTACTAAAATTTAATTTTCTTTGTATAACTAATGGTTAAAAAAATGTTTATAGACATTCTAGCAAGATCTTTATCGCAAGCCGTGAATGTAGACCGTCTATCGATTGCATCGTCGACATCATATGGTTCCGGGAAGAGTATTGATTCTTAAATTTGAAACGTTTTTAGCTATTGAAGTTTTTAATAAGCAAATCCTTATTGTTTTCTACAGAAATTGATTATATAAATATTTCACGTAGTACATATTAAAGACCCATTCGATTTTTTTTTACTTTTCGAATTTTAATTTGGACTTGACTGTTTTTATGGATAACATCTTTTTTATTAACTTCATCATCTTCTTAAAATGCGTCCAACTGGTCGTTTTTGTCAATATGATATTGGAGCTAGTCACTTTCAAGAAAGTTTTTTCAATAAAAGGTTTATCGTTCTTGTATCATAGCTGTTGTTGTGTATATTACGGCAATTAATTACTCTGCATGTTTGCTATTTAAAGTGTGACAGGAAATTTTAATGTAGGTATATTTCTTGTATGACGGGGACTGATAAGGTTCGATTGATTGCTTTGTCTGTAGTTTATCACATTATATTAAATCACGATACAAAGTTTCCGTTGTACTATATTTGAATGGTAAAAGTTTATAATATAAACTATCGGATTAGAGGGAAACGGTCGCCAGTTCGCTGGTAAAATATGTCATTATTTCATTAATAATTGGACATGGGTTGAAATCAAAACGTGATGTATATATATATAGTCGTCAATCCGATGTTTCTGTTCGATGTGTCTGATTTATCGGCATGTGTGAAAGCCAGAACAATGCTTATGGTAATATTTAGCGTGCAAGGTTAATAATAGCCACGGATGTACCCGTGATCTTGTAATCTTATAGGACGTAGTAGTATTAGCAGCAGTAATGCTATTCTGGAGGTTGTCCATCCAGAGAGCAGGCTATCAGGCAGGCTAGCACTGCTAATTCGTTGATTGATTGTTCATCCAACAGTCAATGCCTGCTTTAAATTTGTTCATTGATTGTGCCTCAACAAGCTCATTTGGTAATGAGTTCCATGTATTTGCGACTCTATTGAATAAGTAATTCTCTCTGCCTCTATGTCTTGTTAACTCTTTAAAATATTTCAAACTGTGACCTCGCGTTTTGGTTTTGACAATGCCAAAACGATTATTTAAATCAATTTTGTTCAAATTATATGCACGATTTTAAACAACTGAATCAAGTCTCTTTCTTCTTTCCACCAAAGTTGTTAATCCTAATTTTTTAAGACAATCTTCGTAAGCTAGGTTTCTTATAGATGGAGCCAACTTTGTTGCTCTACACTGGACTCTTTCGGTTACCTCGCTATCGCCCTTTAGATCTGGGAACCAAACTGATACTGCAAACTCCAACAGTGAACGAATAAAAGTCAGGTATAAATTACGAACCAACTTATAATCAAATTTTCCAAAAGATTTTTCATTAGACCAAGCAATTGGTTTGCTTTGTTTGATGCTGTGATGACATGATTTTTCCATTTTAAGTTATATGAAAAAATTGTACCAAGTTCTTTCTCGGATTCAGATTCACCTTGAACAAACCTTTGTCTTCTGTTTTTAAGAAACGATTTATTCCATTTATGCACCAATCCATTTATTCCATAAACTTTTAATTTAGCTAATAATCTTCTGTGTGGAACAGTATCAAATGCCTTAGCAAAATCAACCTGAACTACATTCACGTAGAATAAAATTCAACGACATTTTGACAATTGATTTTTTAAAAATCATTTTTTTAATTAATTGTCTTTGGATGATCGCCATTTTGTAAGGTTCTCGTAAAAGAAATGTCGCGGCGTCTTCTTCTGTATTTGTTTTTTCAACTTCAAATGTTTTAGTTTTCCGTCTGCTTATCATTTTGATCGATATTCCGTTCTAGTTCTAAATTTTTTGTTACCGGATTTTTGCATTCTAATTAAAGATTAAGAACAATTTTTACTTTAGAACTGCCTTATTCAATCAATAATTTTATCAAAATTAAATCTAACGCTTTTTAAATTTTTATTTTCGAAGTAAGACTTTACCACCACCTATTTATTTTTATTTTTACAGTTATTTTATTTATTTTTTCAGTTATTTCATTTTACTTAATAAATATATAGCTCTCAGAAAGCTTACTAATTACTAACTTGAAATTGATTTTGAATTGATTGAATATTGTTTTTATTCAATTTAAGAGAAAATGGCAGGTGATTCATCTCCCATGGAAAGTTTCACATTAGAAACTCATCCCATCCTATCATTATTAGGCGGCATGGATGAAGGTTCAATAAATAGAAAACATCTGAATCAGTTCATAGAATTTTTGGAAGCTAGCCGACAAGCAATCTCATTTCAACCTGCTCATTATAAAACCATTACTTCATTTATGAAAAAGTCTGTATCTAATTTCAGATAGTTTTTTTATATTATGGTTGTTGTTTTTTCACTTACCTGAAAGTGAAAATTAGTCAAAACTTATTAAACAATTAAAAACTTGATTCCGTATCGTATGGAAAATAAAAAATGCTCCACTTGTTATTTTGTTATTTCTCTAAAGGTGTCCTTGTGTATTTCATTGTGAAATAAAGTGATGTTTTATTTAAAATTGTTGATTAAAGATTTACAAACTTTTTATTTCAATTTTTATGAAGGTATATAGAATATCAGATATTCAACAACCCCAATATGCCAATACATAAACAATTTCCAACACTAAACAAAAAGTTGTCCATGCCTGATGATAAAAGAAAATTTTTTCTCAAAAGTCTGAGTCGAATAGCCTTTATGAACTTGATATGTGGTATTGATATAAAGTGGGATCATTTAAAGGAGGAATTCTACCTAGAGACGTCACCTATTTTCTCTGAATTCGATTGGTCAGAGAAGTACAACCCCGTGAGAATTTTGAAACAGTTGGAAGGCACCCAGGGTAAATTATGGGTCTTTAGAGAGAGATTTGTTCAGGAATTTCTGGCTGCCTGTTATCAAGCTGATAAAATTTTAGGTTCTATTTTTTTTGTTCATTTCTAAATTTTATATAATTCATTTATGAAAAATATCAATCAAACCAGAGGCACTGACAGCCAGGAAGCATCGTTTGCTGGGTCGCAAGTTAACACAAAGTCTCAAAATGATGCCAGGGACTTCCGATATTTGGTGCATGACCTTTGGCCTGACATCGAGACACTGCGACCTTTGCCCTCATCAGCTGAGATTGATGACGGAAGTAGTCAGCCAGTTGAGACAGATTCTGAAAAAGTTTGTTTCAAGTAAAATGGGGAAATCTTGCAATAAATCTGGTGTAAAGTATCGCTATTCAGAAATGAAGAAAGATGTAAGTTATTGTTTTTTGTATTTCAATATTTTCTGATTGCACATTTTGTATTCCCATTAGGTAATTAAAACATTCACTTTTGCATATCACCATATATGGTTAATTTTCTTACCTCAATAATAGATAAAAGAACAAGCAAATAGCCGTTTGACTCGATTCTTCATTGAGTGCACATTTGAATCAAGCAATAAAGGCCAGCTGATTAGACTGATCGATCAAATCCTGATCAATGAAACAATTAACTACTCTGGCATCTGCCTATCACAGAACAGGGTGTTGTACAGCCTAGCTGCCATTGGTTACTTCATGACTGTGGCCCCTCGAGTCTATGGACTTCATCTGCCCAAGAATAAGATTGACCAGAAAAACATAAAAATGCTCACTGAACCTCTTCACTCTGTTTCTGACAATACTCTGCAGGTTTATGTACATGTCTAGCTGGCTCTATATGTGTACATGTTTTTGTACTGGTATACATATGCAAATGATATGCACTCTTAATTACCGGTTTCATTGAAAAATTCAGTGCAAAAATGTATGCAATTGTGCTAATTAAAAAGTTGAAATAAGTTGAACATTTAAATTTATAAAAGGTACTTAGATAAGTTTTAAAGAGCAATTACGGTCACAATAATAAAACATTATAACATTACTTAATCATTTTTTACATTTGCATTATTTGCATTGAATTATAACAGAAACGCATTGCAGGTGTTGAACTTGAGTGGAAACAACATTGGGCAGAGGGGCATGGAGTCATTGTTTCGTTTCTTTGTGAAGGCATCGGACCTCACCCATCTGGATGTCAGCAACTGTCACATGACAGACCGGGGACTGATGATGTTTGTTCAAGCGTTCATCTGCATGCCTCTCATCTTCATCAATCTCTCTCATAATCTCATAGGTTGGACTGGTGTCATAAACTTTCTACGTTTTTTCCAATTAAATGGTTCTTTTTTATATATCTCTAGAGGCTAAATTCATTGTATTTTATACTTTAAATACTTGACAACTTTGAGTTTTTTTTTTATGTAAATTCCTTTCTGAGTTTTTGCAAATTTGACAAAGTAGAATCAAATAAGAGTACATGATGTAATGTTACAGTTTATTACTACATCCTTATACATATGATTTTTTACTACATTCACAACCCATGTTCATATGTGCCACACCACTCTGCACTAACAAAGGCAGTCGAGGAATTGGCCACCTCTCTCGTAACCTCTGTTACCTTCCAAGCCTCGAATGGCTCGACCTCTCAGACAATTGCATCAACGAAGGGGCAGTCACATTAGCCCATGCTATGTCCAGCTTGTCATCTCTGAGGTATTTGAATCTGGATAGGAACAGTCTAGACGATCGAGGAGTTACAGCTGTTGCTCAGGTCATTGGGTCACTTGAGAAAATTCAGTGCGTCAGTTTTGCTGAGAATAGTATCACTGCTGCTGGGTCCGATGCCCTCGCTGACCAGGTAAATAAGCTCTGTTGCTTGTTGCTCACTGTTTTATACTTATGTGTTGAGTGTTGCCAATGACGATAATTATCATTAAAATATGCAGAAAACTGAAATAAATTTAATACCACAGGTTAAAAGGAGTCAATCAATAAGAAGTCTTGATGTTAGACTCAACAAGATACCATTTTCTGGTTTGAACATTTCTATACTTTTCTAATGTTGAACATAATTGTTTGGATCTTAATTTTTTTTATTAATTTTGAGTATCTTTCCGCATATTAAATAGTCATGCAGAGCAAATATTTGGTTGTAGTACCCTGCATTCAAATATATTAATCTTCATACGTTTCCATATAATTTAATTCAATTATTATCAAATCATCAACCTACCTACACAACATTCACTGAGAACAGCTGTGATGAAGTTGAGGAGGGCAGCCAAATCACAGGGAAGGATGCAGGTTGTCACATGGGAACAACATCCCTACTCCATTCCATTAGATTCGCCATCAGCTATTACGGAAAAGGATGTGAATGAACCGCCTTTATTTTTTGAAGGTACACAAACCAATCCTGACGTGTTTGGCTGTTTAAGAGGTAATACAAAACAAGGTGGCCCTTATAATCCCCACGATCACCCTAACCCCACTTACAGCAATGTATCATCAACACTAGAGATAAAAGATCCAGATAAATTAGAACCAACAATGGCCATCACCAGAAACCCAACTGATGAAATATTTGGAAGAGTAAACTTCCAGCTATCAATTGCTCTGAAGAAAGTCGTTGCTGGTGATTCTGCAATTAAGGATCGGTTGATGGCATTAGGTGGAGCTAATAAGTGCCAGGCTCTTGTTCATCCACATGCTCATGACGATGATCAAGCTGATGATAAGAAAGAAGTTGATGTTGATGGTAAAAAAGTTGCTGCCTCCGATGAGAAGAGAGAGATTGGTGCTTATGATGAGAATGATGGCGGCCAGCATGGTGTTGGGAAGGACAAGAGGGAACATCGAGGAGATATTGAACAAGGTTAGTAAGAATGAGTTGGAAAGTAATAGATGTGCATTCCTTATAAATGTTTCAATCCCTCAACTGATTAGTAAAATTAAACTTTTTCAATAAAGGAGGTGATTATGAAGAGGCAACAACATCAAAGACAACTACAGCTACACTGCTACCAACGTCAGAGGGATTGATGACGATGACAAATAGGTTGGACAAAAGTGTTAATGATAAAAGCAATGATGCCAGTGGTAAGGGTATTGTAGAGGCAGGTATCGATGCACCAGATGATGTTTGGTCACATGATGCAGCCAATCCTGTTGACAAACTTTCAGAGGGTAAGATGTGTCATGTTGAGTTTTCTGTCAATCATTCATTTGTTTTGTAAATTATTGTCTTATTTCTAATGTGATCCATTTTTTGTGTGTGTGTGCCATTTATGTTGAGTAGAATTTTTAGAAGATTTATGTAACTGTGATGTGTTCTTACTTTTCTAGCAAGTCAGATCGACATTCCAAAACCAGCTCCAAGGAAAAGGAAGTGGAAGAATTACATGTCATTATCTCACTTTACTAAGCAACAACAACAACCTGATGCACCAGCAGAAACGACAACAACAACAACAACTGCTGCTACAACAATTGATACAGCTACCATAAATTCAGTCAAAACAACATTTAGTAGACAGCAGCATCACCAGCAAGATTGTAACTACCATCATCAACAACAGCAGCAATTACATCAGCAACAGCAGTTACATCAACTACAACAGAGACATAATTCTCACAAACAACATCAACTACAATTGAGGACTAGCACAATATCAACATCACAGAGCCGGACACTACCGTCAGAGAAAGCCAAGAGAGCAAGTAGTAGCTACAGCACAAGTAGATTGGATGGATCAAGTTCCTTACAAAACAACACCCACTCATTTCTGGATAACATCGATGATGAAGCCGACAACAACGTTGAAAAGGAAAAAAATGATATCCTTAATAATATTTCGAGATCTAAGAAAACATCCATGTTCCTGAAGTCAAGTGGTAATATAAGCAGCTACAGCAATCCATCAAATTCATTTAACTTGGTGGATAGCATTCATCTCTATGATCTCTGATTGGTCGTTGGCAGATGGGTCATTGGCTGATTGGTTATTGGCCGATTGGTTATTGGCTGATTGGTTATTGGCTGATTGGTTATTGGTTTCATCAGCGTTTGCAGTGATTGTTCCTAGCAGTTGATTTCAAGCTGACCAATTAATATGACCGAATGTTAACTTATACCAAAATAAATTTGTTAATTATTCAATGGCAGCTTATGTAAACATGATTTTTGCTTCAATTTTTGAAATTTGTATCACTCTTATTATTTTTACTCTTATCTTTTTATTAAATGTAAACTGTTGGATGTTTGACATTGATAAGGATTACAACTTGATCGAATTGTATCAAACTTTTAATTTAATTTAATGACGTTAGCCAGCAAAGACTAACTAGCCATTTTAGTATTTAATTCAAAGTAATCAACATATCATACGCTTTCTACCATCGTTGTTCCATGGACTGTTTAGAATTTTAACGTGAGTATGCTTATTTTGTTTTAATTTGTTCATCTATATGTTTATTAATATTTCTATCATTTGTATCTGAAGTTATCACCATCAACATTTTATTATCATTATTATTTTTTTATTGCTCTAATGATTAATGCAAGGACTCAGCGCTCTGTGGTTATTTTTCGTGTACTTCATAATTTTATTCATTTCTGTTCTTGTAATGTTCATTGTTTTTGGTTATGATTTTCGTCGATTAACGTTCTTTAATTCCAAGTTAATTAAATTAATTAAAGTTAATTAAATCCCTTGAATATCGATTTTACAGAAGATTTTTTAAATAGTTGATATACAGCACAAGATTTTAAAGCCGGCAATTTCCACATTTTTGAACTTTTAAAAGTTCCAACTTTCGTCTGAAACATCTAAATAGACTGAAACTTAAAATAAAAACTAGATACATCCTTTAATTATGACCATTTTGATAACATCGCTTTTTCTATTTCTGCCTGCACATCCAGCTCCTAAATCGATTTGTCCGCTAGCTGCTTGTTGGGAACTCACTTTTCTCATGTCATGTGAAAAAGCAATATTTGATTACCAAGACCTCCACACACAAACGCATGTCAAGGTCATCTACAATTATATATTTATTATTATTATAATTATCACAGTTGTCATTATTACTTTATTATAAAGACAAACGAACAAATGTTATTAATTAATTAATCTATTAAATGAACAGATTATTAAAAGAGTGCTGATAACGTTGAATGAAAAAGTTTCCAGTTCGTATTTAATGTATCAAAATTTTATCCGACCACTCATTCATTAATTTATTCATTCATTCACTTTATCATTCGTTCAATAATTCATCCACTTAATCATTCATTCATCCACTTAATCATTCATTCATCCACTTAATTATTCATTCATTCATCCAACCATTCATTCATTTACTCACTCCTTACAAAATATCCCTAGGTGAGTTCCGACGTTCAATCAGCCATTTTTTTTTTATTACAACTGTCCGTGACATTACGGTAGGACCATTAATGACGATATTATGTATAACCGAACAATAAAGTGGTCACCTAACATCACTCTTATAATAATAATAATATAATAATAATAATATAATAATAGTAATATAACAATAATAATATAATAATAATAAGACGAGGACAACAACAGAAATTATAGATGATAGTGACGCTGAAACAATAACGAACGATGACAATGTAAAATAATAATAAAAATAATAATAAATGATGGTAATTATTTCTTGGAGTAGTCGATTTGCATGGCGTGCGTGGTGGTTATCTTGAAACCCTGTAGGGCCTCTCTGGCAGGCACCGCATGGCTGTCTGTATCGAACTCGACGAATGCTATGTCCGATCGACCAGGTACCAGTCTGACCTCTTTAAAGCCGGGGAATCTAAAGAGAGGAGAATAGTTGCTATTATTATTATCTATATTTATTATTATTGTTGTTGTTGTAATGAAGATAATAATAAAATGAAAAAAAAAGAATAAAAAATGGTTTGACTAACTGATTGAACAGCATAGACAACATAATGTCATTTGTCTCGTCGGGCAGATTCGAAAGGAAGAGGATGTGATGTGGTACTTGCTGCTCGGCTGCTTGCTGCTGTCTGCTGGGGGCCGCTGTCGACATTTCCATGCGAGGTACTGTTAACAATGAAGATGATGATGGTTAGAATTTCGGCGGTCATAACGATGATAAAGTTACTCATGTTGATGAAAGGGTCTAACGGTGGCGATGATAACAATGGTGATGATGATTGAAGTTTTGATCTAGATGAGGGGGATGAAGAAAGATGATGACGACGACGATGGTGATGTAAACGATGCGAATGATGAAGATCTCAATTGATGAATTAAATTATTTATTTCCTGCTTGTGATTGCATATTAATTAACTCATCTAAACATCAACAATTACATTGAAAATTACATATAACAATTCTCTAATTGGCTGTCTATAACAAAGAAAGTACTAACCAGAAACTTCACCATTCATTGCCCTCTGACCTTTATCTCCAGGCCTTTGTAAGAAAATATTCAACATCGTTGTTTTTATTATAAAAACTAATCAGCTAATGAAATATACATGTGTGTCAATCAACAATCCACCCAACAACAAAAAGACAAAAGAATGAACTAGCAAACAAAAAATGCATGAACAAACAAACAAACAATTTGATAAAGGAAGGGAAAAAGGAGAAAGATAGGGAATATTTTAGATAATATACACACATGGGCAAATAAATGAATTAGGAAACAAAAAATAAATAAATGAAAAGAGAGAAAGAGAGGGAAAGAAAAAAAGAGAGAGAGAGAAAATATAGAAAGTATTACTTGTTAGTTTTCTTCTTCTTCTGCTTATTGGCTTCCTCATCCTCTGGCCTCTTCTTCTTGCCGCCCTTCTCAACGAACGTCCCCCTCATCCGAGATATCACCTCGGATTCCTTCTTCGAGTACTGAATCCTCTGAAAAGTTATCATAATTTAATTGCGTAATATAATATTATATTATAAATTGCAGTTAATCTGTATTCGTAGTTGTTATTAAAACACTAATAATATAATAATATATAAATATCTATAGAATTGAAACATAACAAATGAACTAAAATTAAAAATTAGCCCATAAAATCCCAATATTTAAACAAAATAGAAGGAAAACAGGCTAAAATAGAGAAAAAGAGATAAAGAGAGAGTGAAAGAGAGTTGAAGAAAGGGTGAGAGAAACTGACCATGGGCTTATCATAAAAGGGGTAGCCATTGAGAGCCCTCATAGCCACATTAGCACTGGAAATCTCCTTGAATATGATGAAAGCCTGCCCTCTCATCTTCATAGTCTTCATGGCCACAATGTCCAGAATGTGACCGAACTGGGAGAACAACTCGTAGAGCGATCGCTTCAATTCTGAGGTGCATGGATTATGTTAATTATGGAACGTTTGATTATTGTTTGATTATTGTTAATTAATTTACATTAATTATTTATTATGTTACAGTTTCGTGAATGCGCAAGTAATAATGAATTAATTCTATTCAATAAATAAATAAATAAATAAAATATTATGTATGCAATTAATTATGAACTATACTATCACAACCTGTGAATGTGTGAATATAATTTAAATAATAAATGAATTCTATTAAACTAATAATAATTAAGTAAATAAAAAACTGAAATAATCGATGATAATTAAAAATTTAATTAATTAATTAAATAATATAACCTTCTTTATGGATTTTGTCATTCAGGTTATTGATGTAAATCGTACAGCTAGGTCTCAAATCCATTTCTGTTCTGTAACCTTGAACATAAGAGTGATTAAATCATGAAATCGTATATATATAAAAAATGTTAATCTAATAAAATCTTTTATTAGTAATCATAAACTATACTATCACATAATTACAGTATGTTATCATAAAATTTATAAAAACTATTGAAAAAAATTATTAAATTAAATTATAAAAAACATTCAATTGTAGGTTTTTGAAAAAAATTTTGATCTAGTTGCATTTTTATAAGCTTGAATATATTATAACTTTATTACAGATTCTAATGAAAGCTCACGCAATCAAGCAGAACTAGTTAGAAGAGATAATTTTTTAGTAAATGCAAATGTGCAAGTGTGACATCAAATTAATGAGCACCTTAAATCCTAAACAAAACCTCCACCTAACTAAAAAACAGATCAGAAAACCTAAAAATTAAAAACTTATATCTAAAAAATTGTTGATGTTTTTCTAAGAAAAAATTGAAATTATAATATCTTATTTTAATACTATGGTCTATATTTGGTATATGGTTATGAAAGTTAACTAGGCAGACTGTTTGTTAGAAGTTTCTATATATTTTAAAAAGAGAATTTATTTCATATGATTAAAATTTTAAATACGTATATATTTATATATAAATTTGGTTTTCACTTTCAAAATAAAAATATTTTTTGACAGCTAAAAAAATCTAAAAAGCTACTATATTGTGGACCCTAAATTTAAATTATATTAATTAGTTAGATTGGTTGGCAGTAATTATAATTCAATTAAAATTATTTGGATATTACGTTTTTTGGGTTTAGTTTAGTTAGAACAGGTAATGAAGCCAATAGTTTACCTGTTTACTTTATTTATTTTTATAGTTTCATTAATGTTGATATAAATTATAAATTCTAAAAATTTACTAATTTGTCAAAAAATTTTAACTTTTTTAGACTTCGTTTTATTTGTTGAATAAATAAGTTGAAGTCTAAAAAAACTGAAATTTTTTATTAAATTAATTAATTTTATTCTTTATTTTATTTACTGAAACAACACATGAAGAAATGCTCACTCGATTAGACTTCAAAAAATCGGCCGCAAATTAAACGATCAATAAACCAAGAATTAATCTTTAATATCGTTTTCAATCGCTCAAATTAATTTCGGTTTAAGCTAGCCAAATATTAAAAATAAATAATAAATGTTTTAAAGTGAGCGAAATTAAGATTTATGGTAAAAAGTTAAAGTTAAGCAAAGTAATGAAATAGTTTGAAACTTTTTTATTTATTTTACTTATAAGTAAAGTAATAAAATAATATTAAAAATTTCTATAAAAAATTATAACAATTTAAAATTTTTTTTTTAAATTAAAAATTTAAACAAAAGCACTTTGTTACAATTTTTATGTTATTGGTGCATATTGCATACCTTTTCGTTAATTTACACCTTTAATCAAGCAATGCTTACATTTGAAAAGTAAACTTACAAAAAATTCGTTTAAATTTTCGATTTAAATTTTGATTCATGTCATAAAAAACCGGTTCAGTGTTAATTGACGTCCAGTCTTGCATGCATTAAAATGGCGAAAAAATTCAAATTTTCAATAAGACGTGGCTCAAAATTGAAATTATTTCTACTTATTTTGATTTTCTTGATGATAGTGATGTGGACCTTGCTGCATTTGTTAATCTTGCAGAATAAAAAGTTAACTTACCCGTACAAATTCAAATCGCAATTTTCCGGCGAATATAAACCAAAACATCAAAAATTAGATTTCAGTTATTTGAACTTGTTTAAATTGAATAGTTCAACAACCAGCAACTTTGACAACATCCACTGCGTAACCACTTCGACTTCACCGTCCTTCACAATTTGCATTTACTCTGAACTGGTGGATGAGTTCATATCGAGAGATCTGCAGAGTACTGGCGTCTGGGAACCTGAAATCACTGAGTTGATGCAAGAGGTACTTTGTCAATCCATTGATTGATTGATTGATTGATTGATTGATTGGTTGGCTGGTTGGTTGATTAATTGATTGACTGACCCTGTTAACCAGCAACATCATCAATTTAACATTAGTTACAAACACATACAATGCTACATTGATAACAACATGAACACAATTTTTCAACAAACAAACTTGTACCAGATGTTAAGCAAAAATTAACAGACATTCAGTATATGAACACAATAATCTGAACAACATCAAACACTTAGCAACACAACCACTTGAATGATAAACATAAACATTTTATGAGCTTAAACAACATCACAAAAATCTGGCTTGAAACGAGCCAAAGTTGAATGAACATCCACGGCATTAACTGAAACATTGCATACAAAATCACAATTATTATAATTAAACAACAACAACACGTGCATCCATGTGAACAACAACAACTTTAACAAACAACAACTTTAACAAACAACAACTTTAACAAACAGGCCTTATATACAAACATAGAAAACAAAACAAACACATACTACACAAACAAAAGCTTAAACATAAGGGCATTCTTTAAACATAGAAAGAAACATACAAAAATTCTTCAAACACACACAAATAAACAAACGAACGTATTAACAGGCCTATAACAAACAAACATACAAACAAACAGACAGACAGACAAACAAACAAACAAACAAACAAACAAACAAACAGGTCTTAAACAAACACACAAATAGGCTTTAAACACAGATAGAAGCAGTATATTAATAGATATCGGGTGCAACATTGGTTACTATTCCCTACTTGCTACTGTCATGTCACACAGAGTTATCGCTATAGACCCCGTATACGAGAGTCTCAAACGTTTGTATAAGTATGTTTTTGTATGTTTGTATTTGTGTACTGTGTATTCTTTGTATATTGTAGTTTTACATTTTTCTGTCCGTATTCACTATTGTTAAAGATTCAGCGTATGTGAATATCTCAGACGTTTGTATAAGTACGTTTGCATGTTTTGTATGTTTTTATTTGTGTACATTGTATGTTATCTTTGTATATTTTAGTATGTGTATATGTTGGTTTGTGTTTTGGCGTCTTTTATTCACCATTTTTATAGATCCAGCGTATGTCAATACCTCAGACATTTGTATAAGCATGTATAAAATGAATACGAAAAATTTCCAAATAATAATAATAATAATAACCAACAACAACAACAACAACAACAACAACATCAACAATAATAATAATAATTATTATTATTATTATTAAACAATAACGGTTGCTAAGATCTGTATGTGTGTGTATGTATGTTTAGAGTTGTGCGTGTTCACACATGCACGTTTTAATAACAATATTTTGTACATAGCTACAATGGTAGATTTTTCGTCCGTGGGGTATTTTGAGGCATAGATATATACACCTAGCAATAATCCAGATTATTTTGTTTATTTATCGTGGTATTATTTAATTATACGTTGTCTCTGTTTCGTTTTGTTGTTCATTGCTTATGTGTTGTTTATTGCAAACTTACGTGTTTATACCTTCGTTTATGTTTGTTGTATCATAATGATCAACGTGTCGTTTGTAGATGGTCGGATTTCTATGTTTATGTTTATGCTTTAAAAGAGTTCTTCTTAATATAGGAGATTTGTAGTCGACATCATTGCTGTTGTCGTAGATGACGTCATCATTGTTGTAGATGACGTCATCATCGCTGTTGTTGTTGTTGTTTATGTAGACTGCGTGTCATTGTTACATTTATTAGTTGGTAGCATCAAACTAATAATGTTTGCGCTGCTGCCTGTCCACAAGGACATCTTTGAACATCCTTTGCCGTCTCTTTCTTTCTTTTGTTTCTTCTCTCTCTCTCTCTCTCTCTCTCCTTTTCACCTTCTTTCTTTCTCTCTCTTTATTTATTTATCTCTCTTGCTTTCTCTTGTTCTTTCTGTTTTTTTCTCTTTTCTCTCTCCCTTTTTATCTCTCTCTCTTTCTTTCTCTCTTTCTTCACAAACACGTGCACTCTCTCTTACTCACTCACCTTTTACGCACACACGCACACACACACACAAATACACACATACACACACACACACACACACACACGCACAAACACACTCACACACACAAATACACACACACACACAAATACACACACACACACATACACATACATACACAACCACAACAACCACAACATCAAAATGTAGGTCAATAGAATTGAACGGTAGGGGCGTGGACCCTTACAAAGTGATGCTGCTGCTGAATGCAGTGGCAGAGGAGAGGGGACTGGCCACTGTCCGCAAGAGTGGGAGCAATCAGGGGGATGCCCAGGTGGAAATGCAGGTGGTGATGATGAAGATGATGTGATGATGATGATGTAAGGGTCTGGGTGTGATGATGATGATGACGATGATGTGATAGTGGTGATGACGACGATGACGACGATGATGGTGAAGACGACGATATTATAATGGTGATAATATTTTGCAAAATTTATAAATGAATGACTTAGATTTTTACATTTTCGGTTCACCTTGGTATGAGAGGCGTTGTTGGACTATTTGACCGCGCCTTCATTGAACCTTCAGTGGGTCATACTGACCGAAACATTAACAGAGACAGACAGACAGACAAACGGACAGACAGACAGACAGACATTCATTTAAACATCAGACAGACAGACGACCAAACAATCAAACAGACAGGTTAATGAATGGATTGACAAGGTTAGAGAAACGGAGACACATATAAACAAACACACAAACAGACGAGTAAAAACCAAACTTAAAATTCAATTGGGAATTACAAACTTGTTGTGAATGACCGCCATGTCGAAGATGGCTGGTGGTTGAGAAAGGAGTCTTCGTTTTGATTTACATTCAATACGATGTCTCTATTGAAGAAAAGTTAATGTTAGATTCGATAGAACTTTGTCTCCATGAACACGGGAAGCTAGCTTCATTAAAATCATATCCGTCTACTTGGTGCGCATTTTGATATTTTTTTTCTTTTGCTTGGAAGTTTGCTGCCAAAATGCAGTTTGCACACGTATATTGTGGGAGGTTTTAATGTAAGTTTAGATACTGTCTCGAATGGAAAGTTTAATCTTGAAAGTCAAATAAGATCCTACACATACTAGATTGCAATAAACTCAACGTGCAAATCACATCGTTGTCATCATCGTTGTCATCTTAGACCATAATTTAGCAAATAAAAATGATTTTCATCACTCTGAGTTGTTGTTGTTGCTGTTGTTGTTACGAACTTTGATGTAATCAGTGTCTGGTTTTTTGTTTGGCTAACTTCTCACCCTGTTTAATTCCTTTGTTTGTTTCGACGTGTCTGTCATGTTGTTGTTGTGATGCCGTTTTGGAGCTGTAGGCAATCGTTTATTGTTAATTATCTTTCCATTACGCAATGATTGTTCATTAAAATATTAAGCACGTTTTATTTGTTTTCTAAGTTTAACATATCAGCCATCAAACAATTCAAATATTTATCTTCTTCCTCCAATGTTCGCCTTTAGATATTTCAATAACTTATTGCCATCTATCATTCTAGAATTTTTTAATTTTAGGTCAATTAATTTAATTTTTTTTGCAGTTTATCGACAAGACAAGCCAATTTGTATTTAATTCAGCCATGTATGATAGATTGAGGCATGTCCAGAATGAGTGGGAATCTGTGAATGGGATTGGGACGAAGTTTTGCCTACAGACATTAAAATGACGACTCCTTTGAAATTATTTATAAGAACGTCGAGAAAACTTGTTATAAACTTCGAGTGATGATGTGATGATGCTGATGACAATGATGATGTTGTGGTGATAGTGATGATGACAACGATGATATAATAATAATAATAATAATAATAATAATAATAATAATAATAACATTAATAACAATAATCCAGGTGAAAGAGTGTCAAGGTTCATGTCCGCCGATAGTTAAGACGATCGTATTAGATGACCTGACCTACATTCTGAACGAACCGACCCACATTATACCCGCATCGTTTTCCCGACCGACCAATAAAATCGCAGATAATGGGGTCAACGGCGTCGTCATCAGCAGAGCCAGTGGCGGCGATAGTAGTAGTGATGAAGGAGTGATGGAAGGAAGGTTGGAAAGAAGGAAGAGGTCGGTGGGTGGAGGGGATGAAGTTGCAGTTGGAAGGAAGCTGTTGCGCAATAAAAAAGCTGCCGCCGACGATGATGATAATGGTGATGGTGGTGATGATGATACTAATGGTAATAATAATAGTAATAATAATAATAATAATAATAATAATAATAATAATAATAATAATAATAATAATAATAATAATGATAATGATAATGATAATGATAATGATAATGATCTCAGAAATAGTGTTAATGACATGATAAGCAGCAAAGGTAAAAAGCTTTACGCTGACAATGAAGAAATCATCATCGATAGAAGTGCACTACGCACTGCAAAGAATAACAATAACCAGAACTTCCCCGATAACAACAATAACAACAACAATAACAACAACAACAACAACCTCAACAACAATATCATTAACAGCAACAAAATTAACGATAGTATCAACAACAACATTAATAGAAACAAAAATATGAATGACAAACTTAATAGAAATCTCGACAACATCATCGACAACAGTCGAAATCACAAAATAATTTTGAACAACAACAACAACAACAACAACAACAAAAACAACAACAACAAACAAAGTAGCAACAACAACAACAACGTTAACATCAACAACAAAAACAAGCTAAACAAAAACAAAATCATCATTAAAGTGGATTCTCAGGGATTCGAGCACAGAATTTTTTCGAAGAGTCACGTGATCTTCGACTTGAATGACGTCACCTACGTCTTCATGGAGTGGTACAGCACCGCTCGCCTCCACCATCTCTTTAATAGAACCGGTGGGGATTCATTAATTATTAATTAATTAATTTATTCTTTATTTATCATTATTTTTCAATATATTTATTCATTTAATTATTCATCCTCATCTTTATCTTCATCCTCATCTTCCTCATCATCCTCATCTTCAACATCATCTTCATCACTTTTATTTTTGTCATCTTCACCGGCATCTTTCGACGTCATCATTCTATCCTTTCAATGCAGTCACTGAACTGCAGTTGGATGGGACATGTTTGTTTGCTTGTTTGTTTGTTTGTCGAGTCTCACATAAGGGACAGGGGCCGTGTAGACGATTTACCCCATCATCTAGACAAATTCGTATTTGTAGATAGTTGTAGAATGAGAATTTTTCTGCTTTTTTGACAAGTTTGAAGAGCACTTCTGAAATGCTTGCTGCGAATTTCGACCAGTGCGCAATTCGAGCCGCGGGCTTGTGGTCCTTAATCACTTTCAGAATGGTTCCTCGGCAGCGGAGAGATGTCACTTGCTCTATTTCTGCATTTTGTTGACGAATCGTTAACATATAGAGTGTGTCGGTTTTGTTTTTCGAGTCGGGAAGCCAGTTATCAATTTTTATGTAACTGTCATATGACTCGTTCCACAAACATTTGAACTCATCATTGCCGTTTGAATTCAAGTAGCTAAGAAGTTTTAATATTAAAGATTCGGCAAAATGTTTGAGCGATCTAACGTTTAAGCCACTTGATTTGTATGGGAGCGACAAGCTTTCCGACCGACAACTGCTGATGGACGACGACAGCCATGATGTGACTGTTTTGCTGACCAGGGTGTCGAGGTACCTACCAATCCAGGTCAGCAAAATGTTCCAAGTGCGATGGCAGATATTTTCTAAGAATTTAGAGTTTCCACTGCACAGTTGTGTTGTGTTGATAATATTCTTTTGAGTTTGTCGATTATCTGGTCTTTGGCGTTTGTGTTGTTGCCTTCGAAATTGTATTTTTCATCGAGGTATTCGAAATTTCCTCCGAGGGGGTATCTGTTTGTCGCCTATCGTCAATGCCGGAAGGAATTGTTCGTAAACTCCGTTCAGGTTACGCATGCCGAATGAGGAATATTTATTTATCTTCATACTCATTCCAGTGGATTTGCACCAAGCTTGGTGGTTTATGTCGATGAGTTTTTGAGAACTTTTTGTGCTGTTGGTTGGCGATGGTGGCCGTGCCATCCTCGAATTGTAACCGTGTTGTTGTTTTCAAGTTAGTACGTATGTTACCGCATTGTCGGTACTCGGTCTTATCTATGACCTTCATTAGGAAGTTGAAGCAGTGGGGACACTAAATAACAACAACAACAACGACAACAACATCAACACAACAAAACAACAACGACAACAACAACAACAATTATTATTATTATTATTGAGGTGTGAATGTAATTATTCTTGGTTCGGGTCTATATTTACACAAAGTCAGCCTTCTTAATTATTGCTATTTATTTATTTGCTGATGGCTCCAATTATGGACTGTTGCATATAATTAGGCTAATTTAATTATGAACGGCGGGGCAACGACACGACAGAAAAAATAATAATAATTATTATTGTTGTTGTTATTATTATTGTTGTTATTGTTGTTGTTATTGTTGTTGTTATTATTATTGTTGTTATTATTATTGTTGTTATTGTTGTTGTTATTGTTGTTGTTATTAATGTTATTTTTTTGTATGCCTAATTTTTTTATTATTCTCTCAATTATTTTAAGCAAACAACAACCCCGTATATTCAACAATTGTCAAACGAACGAACAAACAAAACACACACCCACACACACACAAAAAACACGCACACACACACACACACACACACATATATATATATATATATATACAAACAAACGAACGAACAAACAAATAACAGGCGAACCACTGAAAGACGAGACATACAAGAAGCAAGCAAGCACAATGCTGGATGAACTGATGGTTGACCAAATGATTGGGTGGGTGATTTATCTTTCTATTTCTTCCTTCGTTCTTTCTTTCTTTTTTTCCATTTCAATTTGTTATAGCGCACATACGTATGTACGTACACACACCTACCCATGTACATTCACTCACATGCAGATACGCACCACACATACATAATTTATACAAACACACGCACAAACATACACATCATTCTAGCATAAATTTTCATTAACTTAGGTATTAATCAATCAATCTGGAACAATTAAGCAGCGTTAAACCACTTAGCAAACAAACAAACAAACCAATCATTCTATAAATATAAAGCGACTAATCAATATTTTATTTTGTTGTTGATTTATTGAAAATAGATTAATAAAAAACTGAACTAGCAATCATCCAATCAACCAACCAAGAAATCAACTCATCAGCCGACTAACATACAACTAACCAACCAACAAACCAACCAAACAACCAGTCAACTAACCACCAAACAAACAAACAGCCAGCCAGCCAACCAACAAATACAACCAACTAGCCAACCAACTAACCAACCAATCAACCAGCCAACAAACAACCAATCAACAACTGACCAACAAACTATCCAGTTTCTTTTTTGAACGTGGATACAGGCCATTCAGCATAACGTCACCAACCATGGGCTTCGCATTGAATCCACAATCGTGGCATCACTGGCCACACGACATTTTGTGGTGCCGTCTGTCCGCTACGAATCTCTTCAACAAGCTAACAAAACGATACTTAAAGAGTTAATTCAGAAATAACGAGACGAGATTTAAAGAACTGGCCCAGGAATAACGAGACAATATTTTCAACAACTAGTTTAAATAGCAAAAATGAGATTTAGTAAAATAGTTCTACATGACGAAACATTGTTTGACAAAACTGTTCCGAAATAACAAAGCCATGTTGGAGTAAATAAGTAAATAAATAAATAAATTAATTAATCAATCAATTGATTAATTAATTAATTCTATAAATTGACAAATCGATACTGGAGGAAACAAACAGAAATTTCAATTAACAAGACGATATTAAAATAAATACGTTTACCAAATATTCAATGTTTTTCTTGTGTTCTCATTTATTAAATTTAAAATTTAAATCACGAAAACTAACAAAAATGTAAATGACTGGTTGGTTGGGTGTTGGAATGATGTAAACTTCTTTTTCACCCCCCCCCCGTCTGCCTCATTCTCCCATTATATCCCATTATAGTTAACTGGGGATTAACGACAGATCATTTTTCTATTCATTTAAAATATTCAAAAATCACAACATCAATTGGACATACTGACCGAAACATAGACACACAGACGGACATTCAAACATCAGACAAACCGACAGACATTCGGACATCAGACAGATAGACGATCAAACAATCAAACAGGCTGGTTAATGAATAGATAGACAAGTTGATGGATGGTTAGACAAACAAAGAGACATACAAACAAACAAACAGACGAGTAAAAAAAGTCAGAATGATGAACTGGAGATGCTGAAGACCTTCCTGCATTTAGTCCGTAAAAACTTGAAATGTTAGGCACATACAAACACACACATACACGCACACATACACATACACATGTACAATATCAGCATTGAAAATCGGATTTGATTTATTTTAATCAGCCAAATTTCCAAGCGGAGAATAAAATGAAGTAAGAAAAGTGAAATTAATTAATCAAACGCGTGTTTTGACTTGTGTCAATAAAATGGTAATATTAGTGAGAATGCTTCGAAGAAAATTCCTAATGCAGTCAGTAGTACTACAAGTAATGTTTGTATAATTACTTTTTAAAAATTTTTGGCGATTCTTTCTTATATCTTTTGTTCGAGGTATCATCAGCAAACGCGCACAACGAATGTTAGATATGCGTGAACCAACGTATCGAGAACGTTGCGCGTGTGTGATCAGTCAGTCAGTCTGGATCTTCTTGTTGTCGAACCAGGTCTTCGCCAGAGCAGCATCAGGCACCTTAGTTTTTGAACCTACAATCTCGCCTCCAAATTACTACTACAATGATGATTAAAGTGATTGCCAGTCAGTACAGAAAATAATATGTAGTAATTGTATCAGTAGTAAAAGCTGTGGTGGTGGTGGTGGTGATGGTGGTGGTGGCGGTGTAGTAAAAACGGTAGTGGTAATGGTAGTAGTAAAAGTAGCGTCAGAGGCGTTTTTAGCGAGAATTTTTTTTTCAAATTATATATAAGTATGATTTCTGTAATCAATTTCACGGTATGAAGGGAAATTTGTGAATGTTTTTGCCCGGAAATCGCTTCAGAAAAATATGGCCGAGTTTAAAATTTTTAAAAAAAGGTAACGTCGTTAACTTTAGTAAATCCTTCTAGATCCAACAGAGTAAATTTCTTGTTACAGTGCTGATTAGTGGTAGTAAGAGTTAGGGCTGAAGGTCATTCTCTTCTTTTTTAATTATTTCTTAGAGGTATCAACAACACGCACACACACACACACACACACGCGCGCGCGCACGTGCACACACACACACACTCTTTTTCTCTCTCAACACACACACACAAACACCCACACACACACAAACACACACTCACACACATACTTTCACACACACACACACACATTCACACATACACTCACACACAGAAACAATGCATGTGATTGGCGTGAATATATTTACTGTCGAACCTAAGCACGGCGAAACAGGACAGTGCTCCTATAAGTTTACCATTAGGCCATCACGCCAATTAGTTGTAGTAGTTGTAGCTACTGTTACTACTACTACTACTACTACTACTATTAGCTGTGGCAGTAGCAGTTGTAGTAGTAGTAGTAGTATAGTTGTAGTAATAGTAGTAGTAGTAGTTGTAATATAGTAGTAGAATTAGTAGTAGTAATAGTGGTAGTAGTAATAAGTGGTGGTAGTAGTAGTAGTAGTACAGTAGTAGTAGTAGTAATAGTAGTGGTGGTGGTAGTAGTGGTAATAGTGGTAATAGTAGTTGGAATGCCAATGTCAGCATAATAGTAATAATAATAAAAGAAAAATTAGTGCTTGTGTTGATACATAACAAACAGCAGACCAATCATATATCAAACATCCATCCACCAATCAATCATTCATTCATTCATAAAAACGATGACGTCACGTCATTAATTTTATCTTCATTATGTTTGACATCATCATCATCTTCATCGTCGTCGTCATCCTTCTCCTCATCATCATTATCATCATCATCATAACCATCATCACCACCATGATCATCATCATGATCATCATCATCATGATCATCATCATGATCATCATCATGATCATCATGATTATCATCATCATCATCATCATCATCACCATAACCATCATCATCACCGTCATCCTTACTATAATCACTATCATCATCATTGTTGTCATAAACGCTATCGCTAGCATCTCAGTCATCGTTATCAGAACTGGATTAGGTCTGGTCTGGTCTCTTGACTTAGTCCTTAGGCGGTCTGGTCTGGTCTCTAGACAAAATACCAAAGTCTAACCCTCACCTTGATGATACCAGTGTTGAATATTAACTGAAGTTTTCATTTAGGTACTGTTGTTTTATTTGATTTCATAATTAACTTCATTCAGTTTTACAAGTTGGGTTTCGTCAAATCCATAACCATAATAATTAATTTCAGCCAGTTTTTACGAGTTACATAAATTTCATTTGTATCTTGTAAGAAATATAATTATAGAATAATTGAAAATATAAAATAAAATTAAAATGAAATATTCGAGAGAATTATTAAATTCCAATAATAAGCAATGTAATGTTTAACCTGGCTAGCGGTAACACGCGACGTAATAAGTCTGTAACGTAATGTAATGTTTAACATGACATGTACCTAATGCAATATGTAAATGTAATGTGGAATGTAATAACATTAACAACAACAACAACGTCAACAACGTCAATAATACAAACAACAACAACAACGATAACAACAACAACAATAGCAATAACATTGGCATTCCAGTCGCACAAACAACAACATTCATCACCAGCAAGATGGAGAGTTAAAGCGTAATCAACAACACAACTAACAGTAACATTACAACAACTTTAACCAATGAAATACACAAACAAACCACATCGGTAATAAAAGCTACGTCAGCGGCGACAACAACCTCAACTACAACGCCGCAGCTACAACGCCACAGCCACAACAGCCACAAAACAGCAGCAGTCGTAACAGCACCATCATCATCATGCAAACAATTATATATGGCCGGTAGTTTATGATTAATGAAACAAGACCGACCTGACAATTGCTAGCACAACCGAAACATTCAAAGGTATTTGTCATTCTATCTTTCTTCTCTCTCTCTCTCTCTCTCTCTTAGGTAGTGGTAGGTAGTGGTAATAGTAACAGAGACTGGAGAAGCCTTATTATTAAGATCACGAATGCTGGCAATATAAATAATGATTTGTTACCCAAGTAGGCCAGATTTGTTCTCGTAACAATAGGTAACAATGATGTTGTCGTCGTTTTTGTCGTTGTTTTGTTGTCATTGTGATTGTTGTTGTAGTTGTTTTTGTCGTCGTCGTCCTTGTTGTTGTTGTTGTTATTGTTTTTGTTGTTATATCTTTGCCGTCGTGTTATTTTTTTATTGTTACAATTGTTTTTTGTCTTTGTTGTTGTTTTTTGTGTCTTTGTTGTCTGTCTTTTTTGTTTTTGTTTTCTCTTTATTGCTATTGTTTGAGGTTTTTGTTATTGCTGTTGTTAGGTTGTTACTGCCACCTTATTGATGTTGTTTAAATGTTCTTGTTGATGTTGTTTAATTGTAATTGCTGTGTTGTTGTGGTTGTTGTGGTTATTAACTCTTGTTCATTCTTACTAATTAGAAGTATTAGGAATCAGACATCACACACACACACACACACACACACACACACACACACACACACACACACACAGCACCCACAAAATTGGAAAAGTTATTAAGTATTCTATTGTTAACGTTGTTTGTTATAAATTCTATTTTTAGGATCTTCTATTAAAATTATAGTTAAAATTATTTGGCATTATAATTTTTTCACTGATATTAATGATAAGTATGACTTTAGTAATGTTACATAGAAAGTTTACAGCTACCAATTTTTTGTAATGAGTCGGGACAAGATGGTAAGATGTGAAAAAGTGAAATATAGGGAAAGAACTAGAAAAAAAAAGGGAGAAAAAGAGAGAGAGAAAAAAAAAACAGAGAATAAGAGAGAGAGAGAGAAAGAGAACCAGAAAGAAAGAGACAGAGAGAGTCACAGAAAAAAGGAGAAAGAAAAAGTAGTATTACTACCACTACTCCAACTACTACTATTACTACTACTACTACCACTACTACTACAACAACAACAACAACTACTACTACTTCTACTACTACTACTACTACTATTACTACTACTACTACTTCTACTACTACTACTACTATTACTACTACTACTTCTACTACTACTACTACTACTATTATTACTACTACTACTACTACTACTAAGGCTACTACTACCACCACCACCACCACTACTACTACTACTACTACTTTATTTATAATAATAATATTAATAATAGTAGTAGTAATAATAGTAATAATTTTATAAAAATATTTTTCGGTGGCATACGTTAATTTTCGATATGGATTATTATTATTAAATTATTATTATTATTATTAAATTATTATTAATATTACTATTTTTATTGATATTTTTATTATTATTATTAATATAATTAATATTAATGTACGAGGTGTTCAGCGAAACATGTTAAGTTTCCTGATGGCATTTATTTTCCAGTTGGTGTTTTACACCTTTTGGTTTTTTACGTTTCGTTGTATTATTTTGTATTTTGTTGTATTTTATTTTATTTTTCTTATTTTTATGTTTTGCGCTTATGTCATTTATATGTTGTAGATTGTATTTTTATAGTTTGTGTTTTTAATTTTGTATTTGGTATATTTTTGTCCTGCAAAATGCGTTCATTTTTAACCGGAAATACGTTGACAGAGTGTTATATATTTATTGTCTTTGATATGTTTTATACACGTTTTGACACGTCATGGTTA